AGGGTGCTAAATGAGAAAGATATGCAGCCAAGAATACTTTATCCAACAAGGCTGTCTTTCAAAGTAGATGGAGAGATATGAAGCTTCCATGACAAACAGAAGCTAAAAGAATCTGTGATCACTAAACGAGTCCTGCAAGAAATATTAAAAGGTTTCCTTTAAGTGAAGAGAGAGTCCAAAAGTAACATAGACCAGAAAGGAACAGAGACAATATAAAGTAACAGCGACTTTACAGGTAATACAATGGCACTAAATTCATATCATTCAACAGTTACTTTGAATGTAAATGGGTTAAATGTCCCAATCAAAAGACATAGAGTATCAGATTGGATAAAAAAGCAAGATCCATAGATATGCTGTTTGCAAGATACTCATTTTAGACCCAAAGACACATCCAGATTGAAAGTGAGGGCATGTAGAAACATTTATCATGCTAATGGACACCAAAAGAAAGCTGGGGTGGCAATCCTTTTATCAGACAAATTAGATTTTAAACCAAAGACTGTATTTAGAGATGAGGAAGAACACTATATCATAATTAAAGGGTCTGAATAACAAGAAGATCTAACCATTGTAAATATTTATGTCCCTAATGTAGGAGAAGCCAATTATATAAATCAACTAATAACAAAATTAAAGAGACATCAAGAATAATACAATAATAGTAGGGGACTTTAACAACACCCTCTCACTGCAATGGACAGATGATCTAAGCAGAAGGTCAACAAGGAAGCAAGGACTTTGAATGATACATTGGACCAGATGGACTTCACAGATATATTCAGAGCATTCCATCCTAAAGAAACAGAATACACATTCTTCTCTAGTGCACATGGAACATTCCCCAGAATAGATCACATCCTGGGTCACAAATCAGGTCTCAACTGGTACTAAAACATTAGGATCACTCCCTGGATATTTTCAGACCACAATGCTTTGAAACTTGAACCTATGCAAGAGGAAATTTTGAAAGTATTCAAATACATGGAGGTTAGAGAATCCTACTAAAGAATGAATGGGTCAACCAGGAAATTAAAGAAGAATTTTAAAAAATTCATGGAAACAAATGCAAATGAAAACATAACTATTCAAAACCTTTGGGATGCAGCAAAGGTGGTTCTAAGAGGGAAGCAAATAGCAATACAGACCTTTCTCAAGAAACAAGAAAAGTCTTAAATACACAAACTAACCTTATACCTAAAGGAGCTGGAAATAGAACAACAAATAAAGCCTAACCCTAGAAGGAGAAGAGAATTAATAAAGATTAGAACATAAATCAATGAAATAGAAATGAAAAGAACAATAGAACAGATCAATGAAACCAGGAGTTGGTTCTTTGAAAGAATTAATTAGATGGATAAACCTCTGGCCAGATTATCTAAAAGAAAAAAGACCCAAATTAAAATCATGAATGAAACCAACACCAAAGAAATACAATTATAAGAACATATTATGAGCAACTTTATGCTGACAAATTAGGCAATCTGCAAGAAATAAATGCATTCCTAGACATATAAACTATCAAAACTGAACCAGGAAGAAATGGAAAACCTGAACAAACCCATAACCAGCAAGGAAATCGAAGCAGTAATCAAAAATCTCCCAACAAACAAGAGCCCAGGGCCAGATGGCTTCCCACGGGAATGCTACCAAATATTTAAAGAAGAGTTAACACCTATTCTTCTGAAGCTGTTTCAGAAAATAGAAATGGAAAGAAAACTTCCAAACTCTTTCTATGAGGCCAGCATTACCTTGATCCCAAAACCAGACAAAGACCCCACCAAAAAGGGGAATTACAGACCAATATCTCTGATGATTATGGATACCAAAATTCTCACCCAGATATTAGCCAGTGGGATCCAGCAGTACATTAAAAGGATTATTCACCATAACCAAGCAGGATTTATTCCTGGGCTGCAAGGGTGGTTCAACACTTGAAAATCAATCAGTGTAACACACTATATTAATAAAAGAAAGGACAAGAACCATATGATCCTCTCAATAGATGCAGAAAAAACATTTGACAAAGTATAGCATCCTTTCTTGATTAAAACTCTTTACAGTATAGGGATAGAGGGAACATACCTCAATATCATAATAGCCATCTATGAAAAGCCTACAGCAAACATCATTCTCAATGGGGAAAAATAGACAGCTTTTCCCCTAAGGTCAGGAACATGGCAGGGATGTCCACTCTCACCACTGTTGTTCAACATAGTACTAGAAGTCCTAGCCTCAGCAGTTGGACAACAAAAGGAAATAAAAGGGATCTGAATCAGCAAAGAAGAAGTCAAACTCTCACTCTTTGCAAAGACCTGATACTTTATGTGGAAAACCCAAAATACTCCACCCCAAAATTTCTAGAACTCATATAGGAATTTAGCAAAGTGTCAGGATATAAAATCAATGCACAAAAATTAGTTACATTTCTATACACTAACAATGAGACAGAAGAAAGAGAAATTAAGGAATTGATCCCATTTACAATTGCACCAAAAACCATAAGATACTTAGGAATAATCCTAAACAAAGAGCCAAAGGATCTGTACTGAGAAAACTGTGGAACACTCATGAAAGAAATTGAGGGAGACACAAAGAAATGGAAAAACAACCCATGCTCATGGATTGGAAGAACAAATATTGTGAAAATGTCTATGCTATTTAGAGCAATCTATACATTCAATGGAATGCCTATTAAAATAGCATCAACTTTATTCACAGAGTTGGAACAAATAATCCTGAAATTTGTATGGAACCTGAAAAAACCCTGAAAAGCCAGAAGAATGTTGAAAAAGAAAACCAAAGCTGGTGGCATCACAATTCCAGACTTCAAGTTCTATTACAAATCTGTAATCATCAAAACAGTACAGAACAGACACAAAAGATCAACAGCACAAAAACAGACACATAGATCAATGGAACAGAATAGATAACCCAGAAATGGACCCTCAACTCTATGGTCAATGAATCTTTGACAAAGCAGGAAAGAATATCCAATGGAAAAAAGACAGTCTCCTCAACAAATGGCGTTGGGAAAATTGGACAGCCACATGCAGAAGAACAAAACCGGACCATTTTCTTACATCATACATAAAAATAGACTCAAAATGGATGAAAGACCTAAATGTGAGACAGGAATCCATCAAAATCCTAGAAGAGAACACAGGCAGCAACCTCTGTGACCTTGGCTGCAGCAACTTCTTGCTGGACATGTCTCCAAAGGTGAGGGAAACAAAGACAAAAATGAACTACTGGGATTTAATCAAGATAAAAAGCTTTTGCACAGCAAACAGTCGACAAAACCAAAAGACAGCTAACAGAATGGACAAAGATATTTGTGAATGTCTTATCGGATTAAGGGCTGTATCCAAAATCTATAAAGAACTTATCAAACTCAACACCCAAAGAACAAATAATCCAGTCAAGAAATGGGCAGAAGACATGAACAGGTATTTCTCCAAAGAATGGCTAAAATTAATAAGTAAGGAAACTACAGATGTTGGCAAGGATGCAGAGAAAGGGGAACCCACCTACACTGTTGATGGGAGTATAAGCTGGTGCAGCCACTCTGGAAAACAATACGGAGGTTCCTCAAAAAGTTGAAAATAGGGCTACCCTATGACCCAGCAATTGGACTGCTAAGTATTTACCGCAAAGATACAAATGTAGTGATTCGAAGGGGCACCTGTATCCCAATGTTTATAACAGAAATGTCCACAATAGCCATACTATGGAAAGAACCCAGATGTCCATAGAGAGATGAATGGATAAAGAAGATGTGGTGTATATGTATACAATGTAATATTACTCAGCCATCAAAAAATATGAAATCTTGTCATTTGCAATGATATGGATGGAACTAGAGGCTATTATGTTAAGCATAATAAGTCAATCAAAGAAAGACAATTATCATATGATCCCACTCATATGTAGAAATTAAAAAACAGAAGATCATAGGGGAAGAGAGGAAAAAATTAAAAAAGAAGAAATCAGAGAGGGAGATAAACCATAAGAGACTTTTTTTTTCCTTCATAAGAGAGGGAAAGCAATCTAAGGGTTGCTGGAGTGGGGAGAGGTGGGGGAATGGGGTAACTGGGTGGTGGGTGTTAACGAGGGCCTATGATATAATGAGCAATGGGTATTATGTAAGACTGATAAATCACTGAAATTTACCTCTGAAAATAATAATACATACACTATATGTTAATTAATTGAATTTGAATTTAACAATTTGAAAAAATAAATATTAAGGATGTTCTTCAGGGTAAAAAGAAATAAAAACATGGGAATTCAGATCTTAGCAGAGGGTGGGGGGATGAAGAGCATTGGCAATTATAACATTTTATCATCTAATGTATGTAGATGTAATACTTTGACAATTTTAGCAAAAAAGGATGCAAATGTGAGTAAATGAACTCATAGTTTGCAAGATTTCTACATTTTACATGAATCAATTCAACATTAACCCTAGATTTCCTGTGAAAGGTTAATATATATTGTGATCCTTAAGGCAACCACTACAAACTAATGCAAAGGTAAAATTAGGATCCTGGAATACATGATATTTATACACGTTCTATGTAAATTAAACTTAAGATTCACTTTTATTTCTTAATGTCAACAAAATATATTCTACTAATTTTTTTGACAGGGGTAAGGATTAATGATCTTTTTTCAACTTCTCTCCTGAAATTTTTCTTTTTCTCTTTTCTCCAGAGACAACATTTTGTTCATCTTTGTCTCTGTGTTCCTGAAAAAAATTATGCCTTCTTTCCCTTCAATTAGTCACAGTCAAAGAGTGCTTGTTTTCTCTGCAGGGTACTTATTTGTTTCAACTTCATTTCCTGCTCTTTCTACCCAAGGTCATCGAATCACATTTTGATGAATACATTGTTATTTAGGTTTACTAGAAGCAATTGCAACTGTAGATGTTTTAAATTAATGTCTTTCATTATAATGAGTCAGAAAATTAATGAATTGAAAATTTTTTCTTTTTGTAGGTATTCAGCATTAGTCAGTCACTATGTCCCTGCCATGTGTGGAGTGTTCTTCTAAATCCTGTGGGGGTGATGATAGCAGTGTTTCTTGGAGAAGCATGTTGTATAAAGGAGAAACAGGATAAACACAAGTGTGACAGAACGGCAGCTAAGTGACTAGAAGGTAGGAAGAAGCATGGTGGGGTGGGGAGAATGAATAGGCCACTGGCCTGACTCAACAAGGCAATCATCACAGGCAATACTAGAGTTTTGAAAGACTTAGGTGTATCTTGTGGAAAGTTGACCAATCTTCCTACATGGACGGAATATTATGGATATGAAGGAGAAATCAGCTAAAGAGATTGATTGAGTGCCCATGGTATTATATGCCAGTCACTAGAAAAACATGAAATAAAGATGGTATTTTTTTAAACTAGTAGGGAAGTTTACACATTTTCATAGAAAAAAGACGACAGAGGTAATACAGGTGCCAAATATAAATATGAATAGATGCCAAGTAATGTAGTGAAACTGATCACCTGACTGCAGGAGTAAGACTGAATTAAGTATTTTTTTTATTTTTTATTTTTTTTTCAAAGGATAGCCTTAGGAAAGTGAAAAAGGTAACCCACAGATTAGGAGAAAAACTGCAAATCATACATTGGGTCAGGGATTTGTATATAGAAAATATACAGAACTCTCAATAAGCAGGGTAGGACCTAAGGTGACAGAAAGGGAGAGATGCTTTTAATTCAAGTCAGAGATGGAGTTTCTGGATGATAGGGATGTGCCAGCAACAGGATGATCATAATGGGATGATGATGAATATACTGCTAGTAATGATGATTAAAAAAAAAAGATTTTATTTATTTATTTGACAGACGGAGATCACAAGCAAGCAGAGAGAGAGGAGGAAGCAGACTCCTTGTCGAGCAGAGAGCCCGATGTGGGACTCGATCCCAGGACCCTGAGATCATGACCCGATCCGAAGGCGGAGGCTTAACCCACTGAGCCACCCAGGCACACCCAGTAATGATGATTTTTTATTTAAAATAATGCATGGCTGGGAAAACATATCTGCTTGTATTTTAGATGAAATGATAAATTAGATAAGTTAACTTGGCATTACAGACAATAACTGTTAAATCTAAACTTCTGCATGAATTTATCGTAGCTGTTTCTTTCTTTTTTTTAAAAGATCATTTATTTATTTATTTGAGAGAGAGAGAGAGAGAGAGAGAGATCACAAGTAGGCAGAGAGGCAGGCAGAGAGAGAGGGGGAAGCAGGCTCCCTGCCGAGCAGAGAACCCGATGTGGGGCTCGATCCCAGGACCCTGAGATCATGACCTGAGCCGAAGGCAGAGGCTTAAAACATTGGGCCACCCAGGTGCCCCTTATCATAGCTATTTTAAAATGTATTCTTGTGGAAAAAAAAAATGTATTGTTGTGCTTTTGAGTTTCACCCCTGCACCTTCTTTTTGCCAGATGAAAATCGTATTTCAAGACCCAATTCTCTTAGCCTTCTCTAAAGTGTTTGACCGACTGCAATCGTCTGGCTCTTGAATTATTTCCTCAGTTTTAGTCTCTTTGGGCTGCTATAACAAAATACAAAAGACTGGGTAATTTATAAACAACAGAAACTTATTTCTGACAGTTCTGAAGACTGGTAGTCCAAGATCAAGTTGTCAGTATTGTTGGGTTCTAGTGAAGACTCTCTTCTGGGTTGCAGATTGCCTAATTCTTAACTGTGTCCTTATGTGGTGGCAGGCACTGGGGATCTCTCTGGAGCCTGTTTTATAAAACACTAATCCCATTCATAAGGCTTGACCCTCTGACTTAAGCATTCCTCCAAAGCCCTACTTCTTCATGCCATCACCTTTAGGGGGTTAGGCCTTCAACATATGAATTTGGGGAGGGACATAGACATTCAGACCATAGCATCCTCCCCGTTCTGTGACACTGTACTGTCCTAGAGCTTGTATAGACTGAACGTTCTTTCTCTTCTTCCTTCATTGATTCCATTTTCAGTTCATGGATCCTAAATTTAGGTATAGTCTTCCATCTTCATCTCAGCAGTATTTTATCATTGTATATTCTCAAAGCAGTAATTAATTTTCTGTCAAAATAGAGACCTCTCAATTTAGTTATATTTCTAGCTAAGTGTTAGATACTCCAGAAAATTCAAAATCAATTCTAATGCAGTAAATACTAAATCAAATCTATCCTCTCCACTAATCATCTTCCTTCCATCTTTCATATTTGTTACTGTCACCCCTATAAGCAGGTAAACTAAAAATATAAGTTCTCTTTTATTTCCATCTCAAATCATTGTAACCAGTCAGCCAGCTTTGTCTTCTATATTTGAAATATATCATTCTGTACTATTCTAACACTTTTATTATATATTATTCCATAGTAGAAAAGAATATACCTAACATACATATGTTGGAAACTAATCATAAATAACTAGTGAATCCACCATTCATTGAAGCTCTTTATACATTCTTTCTAGATCTCATTCCCTTGTGTACCCAAACCTAACCATTCTCCTGAATTTCATCTAGCCACTTTCTTATTATTAAAATTATTTTATCATATATATATATGTACTTGTAAAGAACATAGGGTTTCATTTTGCTTACCTTTGAAATTTATAAAAATGATTTTTTCTTCAAATTGCTTTTTTTCCCTCTATTAAGAGTATAGATGGAGTCTACTCATTTTATTTTTTTTGAAGATTTTATTTATTTATTTGAGAAAGTGTGAGAGAGGGAGCATGAGAGAGAGAACACAGGAGCGGGGCAGAGGGAGAGGGAGAAGCAGACTCCCTGCTGAGCAGGGACCCTGATGCAAAGTTCAATCCCAGGGCCCTGGGATCATGACCTGAGTGGAAGGCAGATGTTTAACTGCCTCAGACACCAGGCACCCTGGAGTGCATTAATTTTCACTACTGAATGACATCCTAGTATGAAAACATATCACAGTTAATTTATCCATTCTCCTGTTAATGGCCATTTTGATTATTTCCATGTTTTCTGCTTTTATGAATAGTGCTAAGAACATCCCATTCTAGCTTATATCTCTTGGTGCACATAAGACTTTCTTCAGCATGGGGCGTCTGGGTGGCTCAGCGGGTTAAACCTCTGCCTTCAGCTCGGGTCATGATCTCAGGGTCCTGGGATCGAGCCCCACATCGGGTTCTCTGCTCAGTGGAAAGCCTGCTTCCCCCTCTCTCTGCCTGCCTCTCTGCCTACTTGTGACCTCTGTCTCTGTCAAATAAATAAATAAAATATTAAAAAAAAAGACTTTCTTCAGCGTATACTCCTGAAGTAAAAAGACATTGCAAGTTATATGTTTGTTCAAACTTAGAAGATAGTACCAATTTGTGTTCTAGTCTAATTGAACAAATTTATCCTCCTCTTAGCTGTGTAAGAGTCCCTGTTGCTTCATGTGTTGGTTAACTAAATGAGTAAACTTGACTGGGACATTGGGTACCCAGATATTTGGTCAAATGGAATTTCTGGGTGAGTCTATTAGGTTGTTCTTGAATGTAATAAACATTTGAATTGGTAAACTGAGCAGAGAAGGTTGGCTTCTCCAGAGTGGATAGAGATCTCTTGGGGGGCTAAATGGAACAAAAAGGCCCAGTGAGGGAGAATTTGCTCTCTTTGCCTGACTTATTGAGATGAGACATCCTTGTGGGTATTTTTTTTTTTCTTTCTTTTCCTTGGACTGGGACTTAAACACACTGGCTCTCCTGGTTCTCAGGCCTTTGGACTTGGACTGAAACTATGTCACCCGTTTTCCTGGGTCACCAGCTTATAGACAGCAGGTCGTGAGACCTCCCAGCCTCCATAATCATGCGAGCTAATTCCTTGTAACAAATCTCTTTAAATATGTAAAGTTACACACACACACGTTTATTTCTTTTTTCCCATGTTTTGCTGGTGGACCTAAGATACTTCATATGCTTACCAGTACTTGATGTTGCCAGACTTCTTTAGGCTCTATAGGTACTAGTTCATATCTGATTGTCATCTTAATTTGCACTTCCCTGCTTTTATTGAGGTTATGAATATATTTATGCATTCATTCATTTATGCTTTTTTATTTATGAAATGCCTCTTAAAGCCTTTTGCTCAGTTTTCTATTATGATATTTGTGCTTTCTTGTTGATTCCATTGAAGACTCTTAGATCTTACATGCTATTTCTAATCTATTTGTGGTGAAAATATACTGCAATTATCTTCTCCCAGATTAAAGTTATCTTTTATCTTTACTTATGGGTCTTGTGGTTAACAGAACAGTAATTTTAATGTAGTTAAATGTCTTAAGTTTTTCATGGTTAACACTATTTGTATTTTGTTTAAGAAATCCTTGCCAACCTTGAGATCAGAAAGATATTCTTCTGAATTTCTCTTAATGTTAGAATGCTTTGCTTCTCACATTTAAGTTCTTCATTTACCTGGAATTGATTTTTGTGATAGAATGAGGTAAGAATCCACTTTTATCTTTTTCCATATGGATAATGAACTGTCCTAGCCTTATTTATTGAAAAAGCCACTGTTTTCTTACAGATATACAAAACTGATTTTGTTACCTGCACAGTCTCCATAAATGTGTAGGGTCTGTTTTGAGGTTCTCTAATCTACTCCACTGGTCGATTTATTTATTCCTGGGCCAATAATACCCTGTTTAATTACTAGTGAGTCTTTCTCCTTCTTATGGTTCTTTAAGAAAATCTTAGTTATTTTGGATTTTTATATTATCATACAACTTTCAGAATAACTTTTAATTAACTGTTGATTTTGATTGAAATTTTGTATATTACTCGGGGAAGATGGATATCTTTATATACCACATATTAGTTTTATTTTTATTTAGATTCTTTAATGTCTTTCAGTCAGATTTTAAAAGATTTCCATAAACAATTTATATGTCCATGTTAAATTTCTTTCTTTCTTTCTTTCTTTTTTTAAAGATTTTATTTATTTATTTATTTGACAGAGATCACAAGTAGGCAGAGAGGCAGGCAGAGAGAGAGAGAGGGAGAAGCAAGCTCCCTGCTGAGCAGAGAGCCCGATGCGGGGCTCCATCCCAAGACCCTGAGATCATGACCTGAGCTGAAGGCAGAGGCTTTAACCCACTGAGCCACCCAGGTG